CACACACACACACACACACACACACACACACACACACACGCAGCGACAAATTTGGTTCTTCAGCGGTTCTTTGGGGTGGGTTAGGGTTAGCACCACTGTCATACAAAGTAGGTTACCCGTTAAGCCCCTGTATAGTTCTTTAAAGGATAGTATTTCCTGGAGATAATGTGATTCTCAACCTTTTTGTCCCCAAGGCCCCATAAGGAAATATTCCAGGGCCCCACATGAGACTTTTTGACCTCAGAAAAGCACAAAAGTGATTCAAACGTGTAGTAAATAAATGACCATTTATAGCAAACAGATGAGAATGGAGAGACATCCCTATAATCTACGGAGGAGAATTGGGTTCCTCTTATGGTTCTACATTGATGAAGGCGCTGTAGCTTTAAAGTCGGTGCTCTTTAGCACTTAAAGTGGTTCTCCTATGATTACAAGCCAATGAACTACTGTACCTTTAGTGCTGTTAAGCACTATTTTAGTTTAGAGTGCATATATAGCCTATACACACACTTTAATATGTGCATTATATTATCAGAAAACTGGAGAACTGAACACATTTAGCATCGTCAGGCTTTTATTGTGCTAACTAACAATTAGCCGAGGTGTAATCACTTAAAAAGTGTCATGATCAACTGCTTGTTTCCACTTAAGCTGCATATCATGTTAAGAGCGGCCGACGTTTTCTGAACATAAAGAAATAGTCAAAATATTTAATATTCATATAAGATAACATACCCACAATGCCAACAACATTATTTCTTAAAGTTGTTTAATTTGTTTAGAGTTTTTCACAAAACATACTCTTTCAAAGCAGATATGCACACATTGAGGCAATAATATATATTTTTAAACTCATGTATAATATGTTGTGGGCCAATTTGAGATGATTTTTCTATAAATACTGGTTATGGGGTTTTGTGACTTTTTCTCATTTAGGGCCATGAACATGTCTACAAAGTTTGCAACTCGAATGTGTTGTGGAATGTGTGTACAAAATCTCTATTGTGATTATGATGTTCATAATAGACCCAAAATAAAAACATTTGTAATGTATTTTGTTATTTCAGATTCTCAACTACCCTCTAAGGGTGTTTACATTTACATTCAGGCATTTGGTGGATTCTTTTATTCAGGGAAATCTGATGGTGTACATTTTTGCCATACAGTTTGGCTGAAAATCAGACCCATGATTAGGACGTTGCAAGCGCCGTGCTCTTAACATTTGGGTTTCACGAAAGCTCATAAAAAAAGTGCTTTCGCACATTTCTTCCTTTTAAAATGCTTTCTTAAACATGTTTTAAAAATGATTTAAAATACTGTTCATATAATTTGCAGTTGGTGCAAAAAAAAAAGTTAAATACAGTTTTTAAAAAATCACATGCTCTCATTTATTATTTATTTATTTATTTATTTTGTAATTTGAGAGAACTGGTAAAGGTTTACTGTTTTTAGCTGATTTTTGTCTAGATTTATATAGTGTGATTTTTAGAGAATTACACATTTGGCCGCCCAGTAAAGATTTTACTAAGATTTTTTTTCTTTAACATAATAAAAGGGATAATTCTAAACATCAGAAAAAGAATACTATTAATCAATTTTTGTATATAATTGACAATAAGAGTTTAAAATCTGATCGGCTGATCGATTCCACATATGAGTCGTTTTAATTTGGACAATATCCCTAATCGTTTCAGCCTGATTGTAACAGACTTGGGTTGAGTGGGATCCATGGGTGGTTTATTTAGTGCAAGCAGTCTCAAAGGACAAACAGGTAGTGGTCGAAATACCAGGATTGTCAGAGGCAAAACAGTAAGCATGGTCATAACCAGGCAGAGGATCAGGGCAGGCCGCAAAAACAAACACAAGTCCAGTCCACAACAAACAACAGACTAGGGCAGGCAGCTAGGGTCGTGAAGTAAAAGTCCAGACAGGGTCGATACACAATAAACAAGTCTTCGCGAAGAGAGAACAAAACACGAGGTTTAAATAACCTGAGTGCAAGGATCAGGTGAGAGGAAAGTAGTCCAGGTATGAGGCTTCCTGGGAACCGTAGTCCAATAGTCAATACTCTGGGGAGTGAGACCTCTGGTGGACGATCGAGGGACTTACACCGGCGTTAATGACACTGATATTCCATTTGAGGGTCAAAGAGATTATATGTGTCCATGGAAATGAATGAATGAATAAATAAATAAATAAATTAATTAATAGATAAATAAATAAATACAAACATACATTCATTCATTCATGTATACATTACATGTGTTTTGGTGCAATAATATGTTTACATGCTTTTTTTCTCTTTCTTTTTGTTTTTAACAGCTCCCACTCGCTGTGATGGAATATTGTTCTAAACACTTTCCGTAATAAAAGTGTAGATATTTAAAATGCATGCAAATTACTGCGAAGCGCAACTGTTATCGTTCAGTGGTCAAAAAGAATTTAAACAGTGAATTTTGAATTGATCCCTTCTTGTAAACTCGGATGTGGATTCGGACGGCAGTGAAATTACCACGTGACCTTTTTGTTTGTTCAAAAAACAGCAGGTAATTCAGTCAGGGAAATATACGGGTGGTGGGAGAAACACACTGACATTCTAGATTCAGACGGCAATAAAATCTCGTAGTACTGCAGTCAAAAAATATCTGGATGGAGAAGTCACATGACAATATGGCAGGTGTAGCACGTCTGGATTACATTCATATCATATAGAACATAATTTATAATGCTCATGAAGATGGTTCTTCATCAAATGTAGAACCTACTCAGACCTCCATCCAGACATCGGTGTATCTTTCTTCTTTTAAAAGACAAAGGCAAAGAACCATCCAAAAAAACACAGGCAGCCCAGCCGGTCCAATCCAGTGCTCTACAGCAGAAGGGGAGACAAATATTATAGTTTCAAGCTCACTGTTTAAATATATTGTAAAGCTCTCGGAGCCTCCTGTTTTACTTACTGTGTTGTTCAGCATCACTCTTGAGTTCATCTGAGCAAGATCAGTCAAACAAAATTAGAAAAAACAGAGCTCATGGTGTATAAACCTGCTACTTGTAATGCTTTAAAAATAATATTTCCATATATATCCTGAGCTTCTCTCACCTTCAACAGTCACTGTGATCAAGATTTCTCCTGCAGAGCCCAAGACTCTGTACGTTCCTGAATCATTGGCTGTAAAGTTATTGATGGTCAGGTTTCCGTCTCTGTCATCCAGCTGATGATTTTGAACACCATGGCCTCTCTTCCAAACCTCCTTCCACTTTTTGCTTCCGCTGCTCTGATGCTGCACTTTATCAGCATCTGACAACAGAACATCCAACTTCAGCTCCTCGCCGATTTTCATAGAAATCTCATCTGAGGAGAAACAGAAAGACATTGTTATTATTATTATCGTCTCAGTCAATCAAGGCCATAAGCACATATTTAGATTTATGGAACCAGATGTAATCATCAGCCAATGAAAAGCCTATTGTTGACCACTAAACATGATATTATTCCGGACGTGTCACTGATTCTGATAGTTAACAGTCCAGCATGCAATACCACAGAATAACTAAAGGAAATCCAGAAAGCACATGCACGCTGATGGTTTGATCAGTTTTGACTTTACCATAAATATGAAGTTGGTACTTCAGATCTGTCAGAGCATTTTTGTACTTGAATCTAAAAATGTATTTCCCAGCGTCACTGAAGATCAGGTCCTTGATGATGATGGCACATGCTTCTTTTTTACATACTCGGCCACTCCCACTTTTATATTCTTCACAAATGGGGAGGTCAGCAAAGTGCACGGGTTTTCTGTGACGAATGAAGCGAATATCTGAAATGTCTCTGGCCTCATATTCATATGTCAGTATGGCAGTGCCTCCCTTTCTTCCTCTCACAGGTATAGTGGAGGTTCCTGCAAATACAGATGCATTCAATACAAAGTATCACTACTGAAATATCTATGTGTTTCTGTTTACTCTCTGCAATTAATGTCACCACAAATATATTCTAGTATAGTTATTTTAATCAGCTTTTCTTTTGCTCAAGACGTTTCACCACACAATTCAACAATTGTGAACTGATGGTGGAGTTTCTCCCATATTTAGCATCAGAAGTGAATGTAAGGAGGTTGTTGGTTCAAGCCATGAGCTATTGCTCATGAAAATTAAATTATACAAAATGCACAAACATGACAGCATGAGAGTATGTGTGTGATTCTTTTCACTTTCATCAGAGTTCAGAACTGTTCATCTTATGAGTGTCTTATTGGTCTTTCAGAGCAAACAAACAAGCCTCATTCATGACAGTAATCCCTGACCAAACAATGTTTAGTAATAAATGAACTGGAATGAACTGCAAAGATGTGTCAGTGATGTAATGATGTGTAATGATGACATATGCTGGGGAATTTCCATCAGTTCACAAATGTCAGCAAAAGAACATGACTTTAGAGGTGCAACAGAAAAACAATCGACTAGAACTAGAACTGAAAATCAAAACGATTTACATTTTATAAACATAAATGACACTGACCGCTATGATAGACGAAGCAAAACGACAGCAACAGCAAAAGATTCGACCTGATGAGAAAACAGACAGCTATATAACAGACACATACACATAATAAACACATTTATACACGAATAAAATGCCTTGCTGAATAATAAAATGCTATATAACTGACCACAATATACAGTCGAAACCTTCCTTTTCAACTTTTTTTAAAAAAGATTTAACACATGTGGATCTTACATGATAAAAATGTCAGATAAGAAACATCAAACTCTAATCTAAATCTTTGGTTTAAGAAATGATTTCATTGTAATACTCAGAATTCAGAGAGTCAAACCCAATACACAGACAACAGGTTTTAGATATTCAGCTGCCACCAAACAATCTCATCGTCGGAGAAATCAATGAACAATTTCGTAATTACATTAATAACTGCACGAGTGAAGATCATAATCACTGACACTGTTATCATCTTAATCACACTAATGGACACACATTCATTTACATGTTCACTAACTTCAGCATCACTAGAGGGTTTAGTTTCTTACGAACATAAACACAACAACTGATATAACAACACAAAGACATGCAGTCTGGATTCATATTTTTAAACATGAATACTTACATTGGTAAAGTTCTGTATGGCTCTTTTGTTCTAGGCGTCCAATCTTCACACACACTGCACGTTTTTAGCGAGACTGAAAGTATCAGAGAGCTGAGCTCCAGACATTTGGGAATAACTGGTGTTTCCCACCAAGGAGCAGTGTATTGATTGGTCATTATTTATGGAGATAGAATTGTTGCATAATTCCAAATAAACACAAAATAATTAAATGACAAAATAATTAATAACAAAAATAAAACATATTGACAAATAAATAGTATGAGATCCACAAATAAATCTCAGAGTTTCACAAACATTAATTAAAACCTTCATCCGTCCCTCGGGTTATTTTGACCCGAAACTGATTTTCGAAAAAAAAATAATAAAAATCGTGTGTTGATCGAACCGGTCCAAGATTTCTTTACTTGTGTCACACTTGCACCGGGAATACACACACACACACACACACACACACACACACACACACACACACACACACACACACACACACACACAAAATAAATAAAAAATAAAATAAAACATTCAGTGGATTCGAGGAGTATAAATGGGTGCAATAAAAAAAAGTTGCAAAAGTGTCCCTCGCAGGTCATTTTGACCCGCATAGGAATTAATGGAATTTACGAGAAAACTGCGTTTCTTATTACATTTGATTTTTTTTATATTACCAAAAGGGCTGAGACTACAGAATATCCCCAATGCAGAAAAAACTCACAAACACACACACACACACACACACACACACACACACACACACACACACACACACATGCAAAACACACACATGGTACACACACTCCCATAGGACCCATTATATTGTGTTTTATGTTTCTGCTGGGATGTCATTTTTCCTTTTTTATTTTTTGCTTAACACAGTTAAATTTGAGTGATGTGGTGGAGACCAATGAGTTTATATCATATTTATATTTTTAAAAAATATATTATATATTTATTTCATATTTATGAATTTGTATGAATATACATACATATGTTATATTATAGGTTATAATTCAGTTAGAATTTTATGTTATTTTTTTTACAAGATATGGATTTTGTTATGTTTCAATATATATTTGAATCCATAAACAACTAAACTAAAGCCTCAAGATGATCTAATTTCTCATGTTTCACTTGTTTTGCTCAGTTAAAAAGCTCCATAGGATCCTATAGGCCCCTCTAGTGGCTGTAAACATAAAATGCAATTTTATGTAATTTTTCCCACCAGATGGCATCAGAGACACTCAGTGACTCAATTCCAAGGCCATCTATTGGTTTTTGATGAAACAGGACTGAAATTGTCTTTTTTTTTTTGGTGAAATAATGTACAAAAACTGATTATTTGCTTATATTTTCTTTAAAATATCCAGAATAATAGGTAAATATAATGAAAATCACCAAAAAAATAATAGAAAAACCGACAAAAATATTTAGAAGAAAAAAATTGTTTAAAGTGTCTGAATAATTTTTGGTCCCAATTTTTTTTAATCAATTTTACTGGTAGTCCACTGTATGAAGAATTTTGGGGTATAATTTGTCACAGTTTACTTTATTTTGCTATACTCACTTACATAATTGAACTATAGTGTCCTGCACCCACTATAAAAAATATATAAAAAAAAAAATCTGGTGTCTGAATAATTTTTGGTTTGACTGTGGATTCATTTTTGTTAAAACTACAAAGTAATTCAGTCAAGAGCAGTGAGTGATTTTCTTTCTTTAATTTTCTTGGATTAAAATTACAGCAGCTAGTAAATTTTTGGGTCGGAAGTGCGCCCTCTTGTGACCATCATGCGCTCTACACCCATATATTACGCAAAATCATTTCTGAGAGTTAAAGGTGGGGTAAGTGATTTCTGGTAGCCAATGTTGATATTTCAAATCACCAAAACAAACACGCCCCTACCCCAAAAGGGTCTCGCCCCTATTTTGATAGCTCCGCCCCACACATACATACGCAACCCAGGCAACGATTATGACACACGATCTTATTCAAGCAAAAGCCAGCATATATTAGTTCTTTGAAACAAAGCAAAACCAATGTTACTTACCTATCGAGCAGAAACAAAGCAACCTTGGCGTCCGATCACAAGCCTTCACACTCCTTGAGTTCTCTCCAGCGCTGGAAAGCTGATCCGATATTTACACGAGTCCTACTTCTTGCCTTATCGTAAGCCTTCTTTTGTTCCGCAGATGTTTTCCTCTTTTGTTTTTTATCCCCCATCTCTATCTTTCTGTCGATCGGCTCGGCTAATGTCTCCGTCCTGTGCACTGAACTCTCTCTCCTCCACATCATGAGTAGACACGCCCCTTACTGCTGATTGGCTACAAGTTTGTTTTGGTACTCAGCCCAACTTTTTGCGTTTTTGAAAAAATACATACCCCATCATTAACAATTTTAGTACTGATCGATCATCGAACTGATTAAAATAATGTTAGAATAAAGTAAAATTGACATCAACGTAACATCATAAGATTTGACAACATGTCATGTTGGACTAATTTAAACACTTTCTGCATCATGACGTAATTATAATACATCATCATAACCGCAACGTAATATATTACAAGTAACGCGAGTTACGTAATCAGATTACTTTTTCAAGTAACGACGCAAACCTGCAATAATTAAATGCTAAACAACACAAATATCCTTTATGTATTTAATTCCATTCTATTAACCAATGTCTTTGCTTCTGAGCTTCGATGATCCAGTTCAACCGTACTAATAAGCACAAATGACTCTAGACAAACATTTGTGTCTTTTTTTATTGCTGAAGTGTGTTGAAATGTCTTCTTCTGCATTCTACTGTACAGACGTAAATTTACATTCCCTTCAGCCTGAGGCTTATTCATTTCACTTCTGGTGTGAAAGGCTTTTATATTTGCCAAAAATATAACTTTCTTATTTTACAATCAAACAAGCAAGCCCTGTCCAGATTTAAAAAGTAATGCAAAAGTAACGTAACATTACTTTCCATAAAAAGTAACTAAGTAACATAAGTAGTTACTTTTTTATGGAGTAACGCAATATTGTAATGCATTACTTTTAAAAGTAACTTTCCCCAACACTGATCATAACGCATTAATTATGCATGGTGCACGCAGTTAAAATAGTTTTGCCATTTATGTGCTCTTAAAGTATATTTTCTAAAAAATTAGTGAAAAAATAAAATTATCAGGGGCGCAAGGCAGGAAGGGACGCAAAGAATAGGAGCAGAAAAAAATATCAATATAGAGGTAAAAATCACAAGTTAACGACTTGTGTAGTGTATTAGCCCGTGATGTTTATGTAGTATTTTGAAATAGCCTTTTTAGCACATCTTAACAGGCAACTGTAACAGGGCTGACAAGACGTGAGGATCCATAAGCAAGCTTCATTTCAAGCAGAGGAGGTCAGAAACACAGGCAGGGTCAAAACAGTGGCAAACAGGTATATGGCGGGCAAGACACAAGAATAATCCTAGGGCTAGCAAAGGTCCATGAACGGCAAACAGAATCAAAGGGGCAAGACTAGAGGGAGAAATCCAGGAAGACAGGTAAAGATCAAAAACTGAGAAAACAGACAAGGCAAGGCAAGGCAAGGCAAGGCTAGGCTAGGCTAGGCTAGGCTAGGCTAGGCGGCTACCGGGGCTCTGTAGTGTAGCTATCCAACGATAAGTGCTAAACAATACTCAGCCGAGAAAGGTGGTTAGAGTGGGTGTTATATAGTGAGTGAGGTGATTAGAAACAGCTGTGTGCAATGAGTGCAAATCAGTGCAGTGTGCAAATCGTGCAAACCGAATTCGTGACAGCAACACTGACACTGTGGAATGTTTTTGCTTGAGTTTACTGCTTATTTAGTTTTACTTTATTTTCTTTAAAATACATTTAAGCTTCTGTAATGTTGTTTTAATTTCAGTTACATTACAGCTTGCTTTTAATTCACCAAAAAGTGTCTAAATGTCTTTTGAAAAAGACCATGACTAGGACTATAATCTAGCATTCATAAAATGAAATAATGAAGTTTTAGTATGTAATTTTCCACTGTATGCACAAAATTGAAATGAAAGGTATAATTAGACTAGCTAGCTAGCTAGCTGGCTAACATCTACAAATAAATTACAAAATGTTGCCTTTATTGTCTGTTAGACTATTTTAGGCATTTCATATTGCTCATATTTCTCTTTGATGTAATAAGTACTTGTCACTGTAGGCATTTGTGGGAGTAGCTCATGTACATATATACTGTACATATACAGTATAACAATTTTATACAACAGAAAAAAATAAGCAAACAATTCAGTCAAACGTAAGCCAGCTCGAGTACAACGATAACTTATATATAAATATTATGATGTTATACATAAATATATAAATGTTATGAAACCTAACTTGTTAACTGTACTCAACCAAAATGATGTGCACAGGAATAAATAATAGATTCCTGAGACCAAAGATCGCACGTTAGATATACAAAAGACGAATTGTATCTCATCTTTAACCAATACAGAGCCGCCAGAGCCAGCGGCAGACGTCAGAAGGACTAGCCGAGGTAAGGCTGTTCTCTGCGGGGAACATGAGCGCTGAGCGCCTGCTGAGCGTCTGGATCTCACAACTCCGACATCGTTGAAATAGGCGCTACCTTTATAAATAAACCACATTTGAGCTTTATACAACTACATTCTCACCTGAAAAACTCTTAAAATAAAACTTTGTGACACACAATAACAGTAATATTTTTTAAATGACGGAGGGTTTTCTAGTCCGCCATTGCCGTTCTGTTGTTGGTGCGAAATGCATTCTGGGATACCTGTCTCTCACAAGTCCGCACAACTCACCTCCTGATAGTCCAGGTGATATGTGAAAATAATGTTCACTTTTTCATAAAAGCATGAAACTTGGTACACTTGTATAGTTTGCGGTCCTAAACATTTTCAGAAATGGAGCCATCACAAAAACACCTCGTGGTTGCCATGGCGACCATTTTACTTTCCGCCGTAACCAAATTACGTATTTTGTGTCATAGCTCCTGATGGTCAAGGTTTATAATGAGACCATATACAGTAACATAAACTGTTCAGGTGAAGAGTTAATGGTGAAATCAGCAAAGTGAGAAGGAAATCACAGTATCTGAGTATCACAGTATCACAGCATTAATAGTACATATTGTGGCTATTAATTTTTATCTTTGATAATTAACTAATATTTTATTTAATAATACATTAAAAGATTGTTTTCAAGGATACTATCATATATTTCAGATATATATATAAAAAAATCATCTCAGGCAAGTGTATTTTTCCTTACCTCTCAGGCAGAGTCAGGTAGGCGGTATATTCTTGTTCGCTCTCAACGATGCTCTAACATCACACGCAGACGGCAACGCAATCAGGTGAACAGTCAATGGTTAATTCAATTACTTTATGAGAAGGATTACAATGAAATCTCAGAAGATGCCGAATGAAATTTCAAACATATTTCATGTAAACTTAATTTACAATCACTCTCTGGGGCCAGAGTTGTCTATCATGTTGTCCACAGGGGGTAAGACAGAGTCCTGAATGCAGGCGGGTACATGCAGGTGAATCACTAATATTTGATGTAATGGGTGGAATAATATTTATGTGAAGAGTGTGGTGCAGGTGTGGGTTGAACAGTGACAAGCACGGGCAGGTTGCGAGTCCAATAACCAAGACTATTTCGACTCGGTCCAGTACACGCTAAGCAATGTAGCCAATCGCGCTGCTACTGATTGACAGCTGTAGTAATTATAATCGATTATATTCGAATATATAGCACTCCCTCTTTGCTGGCTTTCTGTATTTAATCTATTCACAATTTGAATAACATTTTAATAAATGAGTTGTGTCTACCACATGTAGGAGATTTAATGCAGGTGCGGTTCGGGTCCCAGTTCTTATGTCAAATGGGTCAGGTATGGGATTAAATTAGTGTTGCTGTCAGATTATGTGTCGGGTGTTCTGTTAATCACTGCGATTGTGGGAAGATAATTTCACCAGCCAGGACAGGTGAATGAAAATGCCTCTCTGTGATGTTACCACGAGGCATCGCTTACATACAGATCTCAGGCTTCTGGAGGGGATGTAGATTCGTAAGAGTGAGGAGGAAGTAGAAGGGTGCTGAGCCTGTAGCTGTTCTGTACGCAAACATCAATGTCTTGAACTTTATGCAAGCCACAACAGGTAGCCAGTGCTGCGAGATAAAGAGAGGAGTGAAGTGGGCCCTCTTGGGCTCATGGAAGACCAGTCGTGCTTCTGCATTCTGAATCATTCGTCAAGGTTTGATTGGGCATGATGGAAGTTCAGTCAGAAGAGCATTGCAATAGTCCAGCCTAGAATTGACAAGGGCCTGGGCAAGAAGTTGTTGATCGAGCTGTCTCTACAATATGGTTCTTGAAGGTCAGCTGGTCACCAAAGAATAATTTTTGATGAACCTAGCAGGATGATGAAATCATGCTGTAGAGTCGGAGTGGCAGGGAAAACGAGAAGCTCAGTCTTTGCCAGGTTGAGCTGCAGGTGTTCCATCATCCATGCCAAGATGTTTTCCAGGCAGCCTGAGATCCATGCAGCTACTATTGGATTGTCTGGTTGAAATGAATGATAGAGCTGTGTGTCATCAGCATAGCAATGGTAGGAGAAACCATGTGCTTGTATAATGGGTCCCAGTGATGTAGTGTATATGGTGAAGAGGAGGGGTCCAGTAACTGATCCCTGAGGAACCCCAGTGACTAGTTGATGTTCTTTGGATACCTCTCCTCCCCAGGAGACCCTGAAAGACCTACCTGTGAGATAAGATTTAAACCAGTGGAGGGCAGATCCTGTGATGTGATGTTAGACAGGATAATCTGATGATTCACAGTGTCAACAGTGGCAGATAGATCCAGCAGAATAAGAACTGATGATTTGGAATCAGCTTTCACAATCTGCAGGTCTATACTGACTGATAGTCTCAGTTGAATGGCCGCTGCTAAAACCTGATTGGTTAACGTTCAGTTGGTCATTCTGTGAAATAAATAATGTAACTGTGTCTATAAAGGTGTGAACCAAATGGTCCATTTAATTAGAATAACAAAGGAACAGCATCTCCAGCAGGAGATCCTAACAGTCAACCCTTTTGTCTTCAGGTCTAACATTCTATCCCATAGACAGAACTTTGGGAGAAGCTAAGATTCTTGCAAGGGTTAAGATTGTTTGAAGGATGGCATGCTAACATTGCTATTGAAGAACTTGCTACACTACCATCTTCAATAAATTCTTCTCCCCACAAAAATTTTGGTCAAGCTTACTTAATTTTTTGTATTAGGGAAATCTAGTACATTGGTGAGCCACCCAAAAGACTGCTCAGCAAAAATACAGTAAAGATGATGATACATGGGACAACATTTTAGGTTAGAAGGGGTAGTATGCACTGGCCTGTCTAGACAGATACTGGCTTGACAAGAAGTTAAAGTGGATCATAAAGTGTCAGTTGCTGTATTTACATCCAGAGATGAGAAATGGGTGGGTGAGGGAAGAGAGGATGACACTACAGAGGAAAGATGGAAGGGAGAAAGGGAGCGTAGATTTTGCCTAAAAGTAACTGGTAGAGGAATTATGTGGCACACAGGTAGTAATATGTAGGTTAAATGTAATAATGAAATAATCAGAGATGTCTAGAGGTTTTACCAAGTGTTGTCTGTGATACAATTGCATGTGTAAATTAAGTCAAGCTGGTTGCCTGATTTGTTGTTGAGATCGAATGAAGCTAGGAGTGGAAGTGGAAGTCTGCAGTGCAAGGCTTCTCCAGATGGATTTCAAAGTCACCAAAGACTCCAAGTGGACTGCCATCCACAAATAATGAGGACAGCAACCCATACAGCTTATCTATAAAGGTGCCCAGTTGACCAGGAAGGCGATAAATCATTACAATATGGAGTTTAACAGGAGCTGTTACCATAATAGCATGACACTCAAAATAATTTTTATTGCATAGGGAAGAGTGGGTTGAGTATTTCCAATTATTATTATACGATTAATAAACTGAGAAGCAATGGCCAGAATGAAGTTTGTTGACAGCTGACTGACAATTCCAGAGACCCACAGAAAATTACAGAGGTGCAGCAGAAGAGGTGCAGATAGGATGCAGCTTAGCAAGATTTCGTTGCCGTTTGCATGTAATGTTAGAGCATTGTTGAAAGAAAACAAGAATGTATTGGAAACATACTATATCACCTACCCGACTCTGCCTGAGATGTAAGGAAAAATACACTTACTTGAGATTTAATTTTTTTATATCTCTGATTGTATTCTTGAAAACAATCTTTTATTGTACTATTGAATAAAATATTAGTTAAAGGGGTTAGTTCACCCAAAAATGAAAATTAGCCTGTGTTTTACTCACCCTCAACGCATCCTAGGTGTATGTGACTTTCTTCTTTCAGACGAATCCAATCGGAGTTATAATAAAAATTGTCCTGGCCCCTCCAAGCCTTTCAATGGGGGTAAGCAGGTGTTGGTTGCTAACAGTTCAGAAGACGTGAAATAAAGTGCGCGCATCCATAATAAAACATCCCTCACACAGCTCCGGGGGGTGAATAAAGGCCTCCTGTAGCGAATTCATGCGTTTTTGTAGGATAAATATCTATATTTCAAACGTAATAAACACCTTTTTCTCACTTCCGCTGACTGTGGCACGCGGATGACGTTCATGTGGAAGACGTAAGACGTATGCGTCGTGCGCGCGCCTCTGAGAAATTCATGGGGGAAAGGAAACAAAGTTTCCTTACTTTAGCAAAGGAAAACCAGTCTCCTCTTGGCTT